AAAAATTAGGTGTCTATTTACTTGTGACCACTCAGTGTATATAGTTCTTGTGAAAAGTCCACTTAGGCCTATTCAATTGCTTTATATTTAGAATTTCAGTTGACAAGCCTTCTCTATTACTATAGCACTAATAATAATATTTTGTGTGTGATTCACTTACAATTGTGGCACGAGTTACCGTAATCGTTTGGACTTCTTTATTCTAAATATCCTTTGTTCCTTTTGTCAAAGTGCACTCAGGCTGATTCAATTACTTTAGAACCACGCTTTGACGGAAAAAATATTATTCTTATCTCCTTTTCTACTGTTAGTCTTACTATAACTGAATCTAACACATTAAAAGCTAGGCCTACGTCAATCGTTAGTCCTACGAGCTTTCCTTGTCTGAAACTTTACTCCCTTTTGCTATTATTTATCCGCTGCTTCCGCTCGTCTCACACTATTTATGTTTATCACTTAACCGTCTGTCCACATTTCTATATTCTGTACGTCAATGTGTTTGTTGCACGCGACGTTCGATAGTCTCAATACCAACGACTTATAAACACAACTTCCTATAATCGTCTGCTTTTAACTGTTATTATAACAAAACTAAACAATAATAAGATATTCACTCACAAAAATAAATTAATAATATCTTAACTAAACAGTATTTTATATCATGACAGATCGCCCCTTTGGCCTCCCTTCGATTCGCCAGTAGTTAATTTGCTTAAAATAATTATATAATAAATTTCATTCCCTAAGAAATTTAGAAAATACTCTCCTACAGCATCTTCTTCTACTATCTTGCATTTTCGAATGATAACATAATGTGTTTAAAGATTGGTTCCCCGACCCCGTGGTTCAAACTTTACTTTTGAACGTCTTTAGGTCTATTATTTAGTGGTAGGTTGATATAAAAATATATTGTTACGTCTCCGTTCGTTAGTTGATTTTCCGTAACTTCGTTCCCATGAAACTTTAGCGACACAAGTCCTTTCTTAAATAAAACTGGTTTATTCTTTCCGAATACGATACGCTTAATTTCAACAGTCGCTCTATAACAAACACTATAATAACGAACGTTAACTTCAACAATACTCTCTGACTGCAGTTCAATTACTCATTACCTACACACACACATACATTGTCCCGTCACGTTGTGACCATCTTATATATACCACTCTACCCCCAATCTAGTAAATGCTAGGGCATTCACGAAGGTTCGAGAAGGAAGTGGCGTCATACTAGTCACGTGACCTCGCTGACGCAACAATATATAGAATTAAAATTAAATTGGAAAACGACATTTGTATATTTTATGCAACTTTTAAACTTAAGTATAATACTCTTTCAAATAGTTTTGAACTGTTTTTTATAGTTTTATTTACCGGAAGAGTAACCTGTAATGCTATTAAACTGGTTAAATATAGAACAGTTTGCTAAAAAATAAAGGATTCGAGTTTCCTTATAGTTATATTTGTATTAACACTTAATAATAATGCCTCATGTGCAAAAACTCTGAACCATGGAACTAAGAAATATTAGAAAGATTCTACTCGCTCAGCCTCCCAGTGGCACAGCAGTATGTCTGCGGACTTATGACGCTAGAATCCTGGATTCGATACCCGTGGTGGGCAGAGCACAGATTGCCAATTGTGTAGCTTTGTGCTTAATTACAAACAAGCAATCTAATCGTTCAAGTTAGTAATTGTCTAGGTTTATGTGGATATATATATGTATTTTACATCCATTTTTCATAGATGTACTTTTGTACTTGGTTATATTACCTATCGCCATTTAATATATAGCTTGAATTCGTACTTTATATCGAAACACAATTGGAATGAATATTTTATTAAGTAAATTGAATCTCCAATTTATATTGAGCCATGTATAACTTTATCACTTGACAAGCAGCTTGAAACTTTAGTTTATCATAAAATATATGTTCATTTATCGTTTGACTCTATTTTGAACGATATATCTAACATAAATAAACACATTTCCTTTACTTTTTCCCATTTCTTTAACCATTAGGCATGGCCAGATGGTTAGGGCTCTCGACTCACAATCTGAGGGTTGCGGGATCGAATACCCGTCTTACTAAACATGCTTGCCCTTTCAGCCGTGGGGGCGTTATAAGGTACCAACAATCCCACTATTTGTTGGTAAAAGAGTAGCCCAAGAGTTGGCGGTGGGTGGTGATGACTAGATACCTTCTCTCTAGTTTTACACTGCTAAATTAGGGACGGCTAGCGCAGATAGCCCTCGTGTAGCTTTGCGCGAAAATCAAAACAAACCATTTCTTTAATTAAATTTTTTACATATTTTATTACTATTTACTGTAAGTAAGTAAGATTAGTTTTTAGAATAGATATGACATTTCGATCAAAATCTGAAAAATTCACGCGGATTGATATTTACGTGAATAAGCAACTACAATTAATTCTATAATTTAAATACATTGTTGGATTTTGAAGGTTGATTTAAATACTAAAACGTTCTTTACTGTCAAAACTTGTGTCATTGATAATGATCGCACCAGTGATCTAAACGTCGTACCTGCTCTAAAAACTAATCTTACTTACTGTAAAAGCTGTAAATTGTAATAAAATATACTTTATCAGTAAGTAAACTCAAAACGAAACATTTTTGCAGTTCTCTTGGCCAGCCGTGTCTTACCTTTGCATTATTTAGTCAAGAACAATATCTAACCTCTATACTGTTTAATCACAAATGATGTTTGACATTTGTATTGTTTAGTGAAAAATAATGTCAGACCTCTATTATTGTTTAGTCACAAATAATGTTAGATACGTGTATTGTTTAGTCAAGAATAATGTCGGATCATCTATACTGTTTAGTCACAAATAATGTTCGATCATCTGTATTATTTAGTCAAGAATAAAATATGTATTAGAACTGTCTTGTTTAGTAAAGACTAATGCCCAGTCTCTGATATCTGGATTGTTTATACAATAATAATGTCTTACGTGTATCTTGTACTTTGAATTATTGACTGCATATTAATATGTTTGCATGGTCCTAATGAGGTAGCTAGTCAGTGGGCATGCACTTATTTTGTATACTTTATTTTCAGTATGTTTAATTATATCTCTGAAGAAAAATCCTGCTAGAGGCACATCTAGACAAGCGGTAACAAGATACTATAACATAAAATGAACACTTTCATATACAAAGACCCAATTTCTTTAGATACGTGTAGTCAAATTAATCAGTACATAAGATCTACTTGTTAGAATGGATAACGGAATGAATATACAACATAATATGATATATGTTTAGTTATGGAAACGTTAATCAACAACTGGATATTTTTCAGGACCACCAGAGAGTAAAAGATCTGACTTATGACAGAAAATGGATAAAATTTGGACATGGATAATTTTAACATTATTTCTACAGAGTGACATAATAGAAGGTAAAAATAACTTATCATTTTTAATTCTTAAATAAATGTCTTATTGACATTTTAGACGTCCTAATAACCTTTCTTGTATTATAAGTTATTCATTCTAATAGCACAATCTTATTATGGTAGTTATTAGGTAATGACCTGTGTGGAACTAAAACAAGCCAGTCTTAATGATGGTAGTTATTAGGTAATGACCTGTTTGGAACTAGAGCAAGCCAGTCTTAATGACGGTAGTTATTAGGTAATGACCTGTGTGGAACTAGAGCAAGCCAGTCTTAATGGTAGTAGTTATTAGGTAATGACCTGTTTGGAACTAGAGCAAGCCAGTCTTAATGGTAGTAGTTATTAGGTAATTACCTGTGTGGAACTAGAGCAAGCCAGTCTAATGATGGAAGTTATTAGGTAATGACCTGTGTGGAACTAGAGCACGTCCATTTCAGGTTTTAGGTTTATTTTTGTGTTGAAAGTCTAAGTGATAATGATATATTTCTTGAAGTACCTTATATAAAATTACAGCCTGTGTTATAGCCGAGCCATTTCATATACTTTTAGAAATTCATTAAAACTTCTGTATTTTCATAACTTCTGGTTTGGATAAATTAAAACCGGAGTACTTACGTAAAAATTGTGTGTTAATGGGTGTTGTTAATCTATGTGTTGATTAATTTACACAACTTTTCTTGCTGGACATAATTTTCACATATTTTTATTACTTTTTTAAACCTTTTATTGACAGAAAAATTCTCCAGGCTGAAACAAACGGAACCGTATTTAATGATTTTATAAATAACTTCCGCATAAATTAGGCTTACTTGGAGTTTTAACTACATTAGAGTTAACAGTATGCATATTAATAACGTTTTAAGATTCTGAGTGTAGATTGTCATAGTATAGTCCAAGAAAACAAAATGGCTAGAATTACTGTTCCCTTATTTTTCCGCTTTTCACGAAAGCATTTCTCATTAATCACCCTGTGTGTAACTAGGTTAGCACATAAAAAATAAACAACATAGTTGTAACCTCTTATTTTTCTAGGAAATGCTCCAAATATTGAAGTGTCACACAATATGCGGGTGTTGAAGCTACCCAGAGAGACAAAAGTGGGTAAGGCTTTCATATTTTGGTGTTATAAAATTTTATATATCTTGACATTTTGCGTATTTCATACAACAGTGAACAATTTTTGACTGTTATAAGGACTACAAAGTATCTGTGGCTCCAAATTATCAGACAATAATTCTATCTCTCCTCCCTCTTCTGTTTTATTAAACTCTGATTATCAGTATTAACAATTAAGGCCCATTTTATGCTACGTACTGCGGAATTTATCCTAGTACACAATATGAACTGCAGCTACACCGGTTAAACGTTAAGCTCATTTCTAAAGGAAGTCCGCGGGCTGTCTTGAACTTCCAATTTGAAAATAACAAACTTGAGAAATTACAAAAAAAATAAATATATCTTGTGATAATACTAATTCAGATGGTATGGCCTTTTATTGGTAAAAATACAAATGATATATACTACCTCCCTCTAAAATGATGATATGTTTCAACGCCCACATGTAAATCTTAAAGTTATAAATTTCATTTAAAAAAATTCTATCTCATTTCAAGGACCAATAATAAACGTAATGTTTAGAAATTGTTTAATTTTCAAACTATAACAGTCATCAAGATTCGATCACCCCAATATACATAAAAGTACGCACTTTTCTAACTTCAGCACAAATAGGTAGAGTTATTATAGTGTGATGTTATGAAATTCTTATTACTTACCTTATCTCTCTCCCTTTCAAAATGAAATAAACCCATTATCGCACTAGTGACATACACAGAACAAGAAAATTAAAGTTTGTTGTATTTGTCAAGAAAGTACAAAAGGTATAATTGTTAAAGAAAATGTCTGCGGACGTACCTTTCCAAAGCGTTGAGGATATCCAGACATAATCCAAGAAACGCAGACGAAAACAAGACGTATGGAAGTTCAAATAGGAATTGCGCACAACGTCCCTAATCCTTCTACTATTCACCGTCCGCAGCAGGTTGTGGGTGTGGTAGTTAATCTTAAAAACCATTAAAGATGTTTAAAGTAGCATCATAGTAGAAATTATTTTCTAACTATCAACGACCCTTAATTTATACACTTGTCAAACTGTTTGTTCCGTTTTTTATTTTGGTTTTTAAAATGATTAAAAGTAGCGGTTTCTTTATATATATAATGAGAGAGAGAGAGAGAGAAAGTGAGATCTCACACAAATTTCAGGCCAAGGAAATATCAAAAGAGACCAAAGTAGATAAATCCACTGACACACACGAAACGAGAAAATTAAAGAT